GGGGAAATTTTTGCGTCACCTCAGCTCAGGTACAGATATCAGAAGGAAATACAAAAATACAAATAAGTACAATCAATGAAAAAAAGTAAGATAATACACTATATACAATGGTAGCATACACAGTATGTGATTATGGATATGGTTGGAAATATGGAAGACATAAACTTGACATAACTATTGTACCACTACTATTCCTATTTATAGACATGTACACACACACATGTACACACTAAATATACATATACAGACATATATACCTGCACATGTCCATACACATGGAAGGTCCATTATGCATCAAGTGGTGACCGTGGATGTTCACAGTGTCCAGTGACCTATGACATCATGATTGAGGAGTTATAGAGTCTAACTGCTGTTGGGATGAATGATCTGCGAAAGCGCTCCTTCCTGCAGCGAGGGTGTTTCAGTCTCTGACAAAAGGAGCTGCTCAGCCCACACACATACTCATGCAGTGGGTGATGTGGGTTGTTCATGATAGATGTCAGCTTTCCTAACATCCTCCTCTCGCCAACCACCTCCAGACTCCAGGGGACATCCCAGCACAGAGCTAGACCTCCGCACCAGTTTGTCAATCCTGCTCCTGCTCCTGTCCCTGTCCGTGCATCCACTCCCCCAGCAGGCCACTGCATAGAAAAGGGCAGATGCTACCACAGTGTCATAGAATGTCCTTAACAGAGTCCTGCAGACTCCGAAGGACCTCAGTTTCCTCAGCAGGTGGAGTCGACTCTGGCCCTTCTTATACAGGATGTCTGTATTTGTAGTCCAGTCCAGTTTATTGTTGAGGTGAACACCCAGGTACTTATAAGATTCCACTATCTCAATGTCTTTCCCTTGGATGTTCACCGGTGTTGTAGGGGGTGACTTCCTCCTGAAGTCTATGATCATCTCCTTTGTCTTGTTGGCGTTGATTTGGAGTACGTTGGTCTCACACAGACCAACAGCCAACAAAGTCACTGATGACCCCCCTGTATTCCTGATCATTCCCGTCTGATACGCATCCAATGATGGCTGTATCATCTGAGAACTTCTGTAGATGGCAATCGTCCGAATTATAACAGATGTCTGAAGTGTAAAGGCTGAACAGGAAAGGTGAGAGAACCGTGCCCTGTGGTGCCCCCGTGCTGCAGATTACCACCTCGGACACACAGTCATGGAGCCTCACATACTGTGGTCTGTTGATAGGTCCATGCAGTCAGCTGTTTGCCTACTCCGGCTCCCTCCAGCTTCCCTCTCAGTAGTGCAGGTTGGATGGTGTTGAAAGCACTGGAGAAGTCAAAAAACATGATCCTCACAGTGCTCCCCGCCTGCTCTAGGCGAGATAGGGATCAGTGTAACAGGTAGATGACAGCGTCATCCACCCCAATTCCAGAACAGTAGGCGAACTGCAGGGGGTCCATCACTGAGCCCACCAGTGGCCGAAGGTGGTGCAGGATGAGCCTTTCCATGGTCTTCATCAGATGAGAAGTCAAGGCAACAGGCCTGAAGTGGCTGGGCTCCCTGGGGTGTGCGATTTTTGGCACCGGAATCACACAGGAAGTCTTCCACAGTTCAGGAGCCCTCTCCAGGCTCAGGCTCAGGTTGAAGATGTACAGGGCCATCTGACAGAACTGGTCTGCACAGTCCCTGAGCAGTCTGGAGCAGATTCCATCCGGACCTGCTGCCTTCCTTGCCTTCGTCCTCTTGAGCTGATTTCTCACCTGATCAGCTGTGAAGTAGATGTGAGGCTGGGGTGGAGTGGGGGGTGGGGTTGGCTCTGTTGTGGGTAGATGTGTGGATAGGGGTGAAGCAGGGTTGTGGTGAGAGGAGAGCTCTCATGGTGACAATGGCACTATTGACTCCATTGTCCTGGAAGTGTCCAGAGATTTTTTTCATGTTCCTCCAGACTTCTCTGATGTTTTTCTGTTGGAGTTGGTTTTCCGTCTTCCTCCTGAAGCACCCCTTGCCTTCTAGGATCTTGTATTTAAGATCCTTTTGGACTTTCTTAAGTTCCTCCTTGTCTCCCGACCAGAAAGCCCTCTTCTTCTTGTTCAGCAGGGCCTTCAGTTCTGGGGTGACCCACGGTTTATTGTTTGAGAAACACTGTATCTTCTTGGTAGGCACAGTGTTCTCAACACAGAAATTAATGTAGTCCGTGATGCAGTGGGTGAGGGCGTCAATGTCTTCACCGTGAGGCTTGCAGAGTTCCTGCCAGTCTGTGCATTCAAAACAGTCTCTTAGGGCCTCGGTGCATTCCTCAGACCACACCCTTATCACCTTCTTCGTGGGGGGGTTCCTCTTCACCAGGTTGTGGTCTGAGTGGCCAAGCGGGGTGAGGGGTGATGCACTGTAAGCCTGCTTTGTGTTGGCAAACAATAGATCCAGGGTTTTGCTGTCCCTTGTATGGCAGTCAACATACTGGGAGAAGTTAGGGAGAGTGACTGATAGAGAGGCATGATTGAAGTCCCCAGAGATAATATGATTGCATTAGATAAATGATTGGTGGTAAATCACTTTGCCCATTATGTTGTCCTTTGTAAATAATTAGTTATCCCCACAACCTTGATTCCCATTTAATCAAGATTGTCCACACTGTTTTCCCCTTTTATGTTATAAAACACAGACTGAAATCACAGAATGAAGCTACATTACCTGGAATAACTGGACTTGTAATTCTTTTATGGCAGCAGTCAGTGTGTAACAGAGTCAGTCTGTGTTTTGGATGGTAACTTCTGTGTGCTTTTTATCAATGCTTTGCATGTCTGCTTGGCTTCTCTAATCTCTGGCCTGATTTTGATCTCCCCCAACTTTGTGTTTCTTTTGCCTGCATTCCAGTCAGAACTAAGACATGGTCCCTTTTACTATGTGAAGCAGCCAGCACTCACCACAGACCCTGTTGATGTTGTACCGCAGGACGGCAGGAATGACTTCTACTGCTGGTTGTGCCACCGCGAGGGCCAGGTGCTCTGCTGTGAGCTCTGCCCCAGGGTGTACCACGCCAAGTGTCTCAAACTACCAGCCGAGCCCGAGGGCGACTGGTTCTGTCCGGAGTGTGAGGTACTCACTCAGGAATGTGAAAAATATACTAGTGTTGTAAAGCGTAGGGTAATCCTGTACTTATATTGGCTTAATAAAATAAGACCAACCAGTAAGTATGGATTGTAGATGACAAAGATAGGTTGTCAGGCTTTCGTATGCTCAGTGCAGATATAACAAAAGTGTTTGTTTTCTCCTGGTGTCTTTTAGAAAATAACAGTTGCCGAGTGTATAGAGACTCAGAGCAAAGCCATGATGATGCTTACTATAGATCAGCTCTCTTACCTGCTAAAGTTTGCCCTGCAGAAGATGAAACAACCAGGTGTAAGTATTCTGTTACCCCTGTGTTTCCAGAAATTCGTGCTGCTAAAAAGTTTGAAGGCACAAATTTCTTTTTCATGTGTATGTTCACATGCAGTATATCACTGGGATTTTGGCATCTCCTCTTTGCTGACCAGTGGTGATTTTTAGACACCTTTTGCAGCCAAACGATAACTGTACTACCATCTGTCATATCAGATAATCTGCACATCCTGAGGTGCAACCTCCTCACAAACAGTCCAGCATGGTATAATATTGATTTGCATGTGCTAATAATTTCTAATAACACAACTAACAATCATTTGATAATAATGGGCCTGACATGGCTGGAAACCATGAAAGTAAATATCCTAGCTGGTGGTGAGGATACAGCTGCCCCTCTCACTCTCTTTCAGGATCATCCCCGCTTGTCATCTCGCTCCCCCCATGCAGCTTCCACGCAGAGAAAGACTTATAATTGGGTAATCAATTACACCACTAACAAGACCCCGTCATGATTTCTTCCTCCACTAGTATTCCTCCTTCTGTTTGAAGCGGCTTTTAGAACTTTTAGTAGTAGCATGGTGGTAGCATGTTGGTTTGTGGCAGAGGGGACAGGTGTTGAAAAATAAGCTTTAGGCTAAGGTGTAATAAATATTGAAAAAAAGCTAAGGTTTAGTTTAGTTTATTTAGCTTCACTCTCTTCTCTGTTTACATAATCCTAGACTGAACCATTCCAGAAACCCGTGTCTCTTGAACAGCATCCTGATTATGCAGAGTATATTTTTCATCCTATGGATCTCTGCACACTTGAGAAGGTAATACGTTGAGCAGTCTCGACGATTGGATAGTGTAAATGTGGAAAAGTTGAATCATTTGACATTTGAACATCATTTCTTTTTGTCACAACAGAATGTCAAAAAGAAAATGTATGGCTGCACAGAGGCCTTTTTGGCGGATGCAAAATGGATCTTGCACAATTGTATTATATACAACGGAGGTATGCTCCTCGATGTGTGAGCTGTATTACACTTATCTACAGTTATGGTATAATGAGCATAGTAATGCACACGATGCATGACTGTGTTAATAGCAGATAATTACACTTTCCTCAGATTAGCTGATATTAATGTGTTATTAGAGTGCATTTCCAGATGAGGACAATTAACAGTAATTCTGACTTATATAAAATAACAGATTTAAAAGCTTTTACATAATTGCATGTTCTTATTTCAGGCAACCACAAACTTACAACTACAGCTAAGGTGATAGTAAAAATCTGTGAACATGAGGTAAATATTACTTTACTTTTCATTATGGGTAACACTATGACATCTGAAACTTAATTTAGCCATCTTTAAATGTGCATTTATTTGTTTCGTTTTGGTTTCAGATGAATGAGATTGAAGTTTGCCCTGAGTGTTATTTATCTGCGTGCCAAAAGAGAGACAACTGGTTCTGTGAGCCTTGTGTAAGCTGAGTTACCTGAAGTTTCTGCTGATCATGCTATCAGAACCTACTCAAATGTACAAATCTTTAGAGTACAACTCTGTAGTTCCAGTGTTTTACTGTATGTCTGCAGAGTAACCCGCACCCTCTAGTGTGGGCCAAACTGAAAGGGTTTCCATTCTGGCCTGCTAAAGCTCTGCGGGACAAAGATGGGCAGGTGGATGCTCGCTTCTTTGGGCAGCACGACAGGTATCAGTCCTTTGCTCTTCAGTTACTTGGGCTTGGTGGCATATTACAGTCTTTGTGTTAAAACGAGAGACATATTATTGATCTTCTTCTTTCAGGGCCTGGGTTCCTTTAAACAATTGTTACCTCATGTCCAAGGAAATACCTTTTTCTGTAAAGAAGACCAAAAGCATTTTCAACAGTGCCATGCAAGAGATGGAGGTCTATGTGGAGAATATGAGAAAGAAGTTCGGAGTGTTTAATTACGCCCCCTTCAGGACGCCGTACACGCCGGACAATAATTTTCAGATGCTCCTGGATCCCTCTAACCCCTCGTCAGGTCCCATCAAACCTGAGAAGCAAGAGAAGATCAAGCTGAGTTTTGATATGACCGCATCGCCTAAAATCGCATTGACCAGGACCTTGTTACCTGGGGCTGGGGTGGGAGGAAGCGCAGCAGGACGCCGGCTCCCTCTCACTGACATGCCTCGCTCACCCATGAGCACCAACTCCTCTGCTCATACAGGTTCAGATGGGGAACAAGAAACAACCGACAAGTCCCAGACAAAAGCGTCAAATAGCCAGTTCAGTACAGGAGAGGAGTCCATGGACTGCACAGGTGTGTGAGTGCCACTCCAAGCCCTCCCCTGTATCAACTATGAGCAGTATGTTGCTAGCAGATGTGGTTATTCATATATTTATCAACTACTAAACCTGTAGTCACCTTTAAAATGAAATCAGTATATCTGCTGATATAAAGCAACTGTTATAACATAATTTAAAAACATATTTATATATATGTAATAAGCATTGCATATATCTGTCTGCTTATATCTGCATTGTGTAGACGGTAGACCTTGTTTCAAAACAAATATCTATCGACAGTCTCACCAGCTCATCCTCGACCTGGTGGTGCAGGTGGTTCCTTGGACAGCCCCAAATCATTACCCTCTCAAGCTCCTGGCATTCCCAAGCAGGAGAAGACACCACAGACAGGAAGTATTCTGAACCTTAATCTAGGTGAATCCTTTATGTCTTTGTAACACAAACTACAACACACAATAATGTGTTTAAAAATGTCTCCTTCTATTTTAAAAGCCACTTCTACTGCACACACTATGACGGTCAAGTAATAAGATCTTTCCTTATTGCATTGTACATATGCACTTTCTCTAGATCGAAGTAAAGCAGATATGGACCTAAAGGAGCTGAGTGAAACAGTTCAGCAGAAACAAGGAGCCACACCTGTCCTCACATCTCCAAAAAGACAAATCAAGAGCCGTTTCCAGCTGAACTTAGACAAAACCATTGAGAGTTGCAAGGCCCAGTTGGGTTAGTAGAGATACTACTGAGGCCAGTTTTGTAATTCCTTTGTGTTGATAATTTGTTACCAGTGCCATAATTGAAATATTAATTGGGTTTTGTTTGTTTTTGTCATTTTGGGACCTTCTTCGTAGATATGTCCCAGGACACAGTTTATTGTGGTGTGACAGCCTCTTTCATTGCTTTGTAGGTATTGGTGAGATCTCTGTGGATGTGTACAAAGGTGTTGAACACAGTGACTCAGAAGAGACTGATAAATCTGACTCCAGTGACAGCGAGTATGGCAGCGATGAGGAGCAGAAGACCAAGAATGAACAAGACACAGCACCCAGTGAGGAGCCCCAGAAGGAACCCACCAAAACTAATGTCAAAGACCAACCTTCCCCCAGCAATGAAGAAGAGGGTAGAGCTGATTTACTTGTAGCAACTGAATCAGCAGCTGGAGAAGCCAGTGTGACCGTGTCTGATGCTCAAACTAAAGAGAAAACGAGCAGTGAAGTAGAGAAAGAGAGCCCAGAGAAAAACAAAGCACCTCGGGAATCACCTGTTCCCAGAGAAAAGTCTCAGGTGAAACAAGAGACAAAGCAGACTGTGCCAGTGGAGGACTCTGACTCAGAGAGGGAACTGGTTATTGATCTTGGAGAGGAGCAAGGTGGCAAGGAAAGGAAAAGGAGAAGAAAAGACAGCGCTACTGTTAAAGATTCAACTACTGGTAAAGTTGAAGGTGACAGTTATACTTTCTCTGTGTGTCTGACTAGAAATCGTCTAACACTTCATGTTATAGTCCTTATTTTGTTTAAACCTTATCAACTTTGTACGGGCAAAATTGGCAAATAAGATGTGATTTTTTTCCTGTAGGTAAAGCTTCTATAACGTCAACGCCCCCATCTCAAAACAGCACGGCACCTTCCACACCCTCTAGTGTTTCCATGCAGTCCCCTGTGGCCATTCCTGTCACTGTGGTCTCCTTCACCGCTCCTTCTCCTGCAACCATTAGCCTCGCGTCTGCATCCAGTGCCACTGCAACACCCCCCCCTTCCACTTCCACCTCGACCACACCGGCTTTGAAGAAACAGCGCCCTCTGCTGCCTAGAGAGACAGTGCCAGTGGTACAGAGGGCTGTAGTGTGGAATCCCACAGCTAAATTTCAGACCTCCTCTCAGAAATGGCACATGCAGAAGGTGCAACGTCAGCAGCAAAACCAGCAACCTGTGGCAACCACACAAATGCAGGCGTCATCTCCCAGGCAAGGCCAGACGCAAGTGCTAACCCAGACCCAGGCAGCTGCAAACGGCTCTACAGCAGTCTCCTCCTCTTCACAAAGCACACGCTATCAGACCAGACAGGCGGTGAAAGGTAAAAAAAACAAGCTTCACGGTATGCTAAACTAAGTATGACCTAAAACTGTGTGACTCAATACAAGTCAAGATTCCTTCATGTAAGAGTGGTTAGACAATGTACAGACCTAAAGAGCAAAATGAATTAGAATATTACAATTTGATGGCTATGGTGAAAATGTTCTACTTGCATGTTTCACCATGTGAATAATAGTGTTTCTTATTCCAGCTGTTCAACAAAAAGACACCCTACTCAGCACGTCCACTTCAGCTGTCACGCTGGTATCCAGTAGCCCAGCTTCCGTTGCCATGATGGCAGCGTCGAGTTTAGGCACGGCTGCTGCACCTTCACCAGTGGCAACAGACCTGTATATCCCAACTGCCTCGGCAGATGTGGCGGCAGACATTGCCAAGTACACAAATAAAGTTAGTGCATATTTTCTTAGACAAGCAATTTGTTTTATGTTTTCACTGGAAACACTGCTGGTGTAGTAAAAATACACGAGATACATCAGCACTGGGCAACTTTAAAACTACATATTAGCGACAGAACAACCTTTGTGTTATTAGTCTGGGTGAGAGGCAAAGTATATCATTTTTAATGACACATCCTCATAAAATTGTCTTCTTTCTTTCAGATAATGGATGCAATTAAAGGTACAATGAGTGAAATCTACAACGACCTTTCAAAAAATCCTTCAGGGAATACAGTAGCAGAGGTAGGTGGTTGCTCTCGGTTGCATATAGACTGAAAACAATTCAGCTCATTTCCTTATCCTCGTATGCCTTTATCTTTTTCTTTTTTGCAGATAAGAAGACTGAGGATTGAAATAGAGAAATTACAGTGGTTGCATCAGCAAGAGTTGTCCGAAATGAAGCACAACCTTGGTGTGAACTTTATCAGTCAGCTACTAACCGTGCAGTCTTCTTTCCCCTCACACTGTACAATTAGTTCTACCCGTGTTTGGTCACGCTTGTGTTCTTCAATCTAGAGCTTACGATGGCTGAGATGCGGCAAAGTCTGGAGCAGGAGAGGGAGAGGTTGGTGAGCGAGGTGAAGAAACAGGTGGAGCTGGAGAAGCAGCAGGCAGTGGATGAGACAAAGAAGAAACAGTGGTGTGCTAACTGCAGGAAAGAGGCCATCTTCTACTGCTGCTGGAATACCAGCTACTGTGATTACCCCTGTCAGCAAGCCCACTGGCCAGAACACATGAAGTCTTGCACTCAGTCAGGTAACAGCGCATGTCGTCACTAACATGCTGAGGATCATATTGACAAAAACAAAGACTGTATTTTCTAACGCTCCATTTGCATGCCTGTATAAACACCATTCATTTCTTAGTTGTAATTAGTTTTGGGTTTTTTTGTTTTATTTGTAGCCACGGCTCCACAGCAGGAACCTGAGGCCGAGCCTACAGCAGACCTCCCAAATAAAGGTTTAGGGCAGACTAGCGGTGGCCCAAACCCTCTCAGAGACACACCAGCCTCTGCGTCATCATTGGACAAAGACTGTGACATGGAAAAGAGCACTGACAGTGTTGCCGTCACTTTGTCATAACCACGCTTACCATACTTGAAAATGTAAATGTAAATTTTTTTCCTCCCACTACAATAATATGTCCATGTAATTTGTTCTGTTCAACAGCCTTTTCCAAATTGAAAGTGAAAAAAAAATCAAGTTATTTTTTTTTTTTTTTTTTTTGTTTGCCTTTCGGGCGTCACATGGTTCCCCCACTGCAGAGTGGTGTAAAACACAACTGGCAGCAGAGTGTGGCAGTTTAAAAAATAGCTTACAGTGTATGTTCTTGCATTCTCTTGCTGGTCTTTATAGGCAGCTGCCAGTATGAAGAGCTTAAGAGCATGCTTGAGTGTCATAAAACATATCAGTGGTATATTGGACAACAGTTAAACCATTTATGACTACAGAAATGTAACCCGTGTTAATGAACCACCTCAGTTGTAGATTAGAGGACTGCTGACAGAAGTGTCTGTAAATGACTTATTTTGTATTTTGTGTTAATTTATTTGTTATTCTATTGTTGCCTGTTGTATACTGCAAAGAAAGTAACAAATACACACATTTTAAACAAGCTGTTTTATATGATTACAAAAACAGTCTTACATTTGATCTTTTAGTTGTCTCTAAAGTTGAGGAGAACCTTAGGGTTTGGTTGAATGTAAATGTTATAAGACTGTAATAACAATGAAACAGCTGCGGCACATTTTAATATTTGAACATTTCCATAATCTGCATCAAATGCCCCCAAGTAGAAGTTTATGGGCCTATCAAAAACAGATTTTTGAGAGGTCGGAATTGTACATTTCTGTGTAAATTGTGATAAAAACAGTAAAGTAAAAAAGTAACATAGAAAAGAGTTGTGACTGAAGTAAATTTTAAATATCAGCTCATAATAATAAGAGCTCATTTGGCAAACATTCACATGTTGGGACAAATATCAAGTAAATAGCTGAATTAGACTTATTTAAATCCACTAAGTTTAGGACAAATCACATTTTGTTAAAATAAAAAAAAACAATCCCCCCCCAAAACAATTACACCTTTTCCCGCCGTTTGAAAGTGATTACGTATTGACGGAACGTCGACCTTTGCTTCTGTTTAGTTTCCCTCCTGGCCAGTGGGGGCGCTGTTGACACAAAGCGTTTTGTGTAAACCGTCAGCCATCTGCTGCAGTCAGTTAGCTCCAAAGGGAATGGAAAATGGAGGACTGACCCATGAAAGAGCGAGGGGACATTATCCGTATTTATAACGCATGGGTGGGTAAAATACAACAACTTAATTTATTTTAGTTGCGTTATATTTATTTTTGGCGTGTGTTCGTGCTTTTGTGTTTTGTTGCTGCCAAACATGTCTAGGGTGAAGGTATCGGAGGCGAGGACGTTGACCACGATTCGCTTGACGATAGCTTGAGTACAGTTACGGTTTTAAATTAGACTTCAGTTGTTTACATTGGTTAAAATTTGAGTTTGCTACAAAATACTTGTCCCACGTAGTTTGTTTGTACTATATGTTGGCTTTTTAACGGCTACCTAAATGCTAATGATTTTAAGCTGAATTTGCCGCTAGCTTACCCACGCTCGCTGTGGCCAACAGCGCTAGCTAAGCTTACTGGCTACAAGTGCACGTTTTGCAACACGCAGTTTCGCATTGTGAAACAAAACAAAAACGACTAGAATAACCTAATAATATAAATGTAGTTTCAGTGTTATAGAAAGGGTTGCGTACCGTTTCCCACTGCATATTTTCTCGCCGCTTGTGGCACCCCGTTTGTAGTTTACATGAGCTAATGGTAAATAGCCTAGCGGTTGGCGGAATGTTGAATGTTTTGCGGCCGTCACTGGAGATGTAGGAGTGAAGAACGGGTCTGCTCTTATACTATGCTGATTTTCCAATATCGTTTGCTAGCTTGATTGTCTACACATTGGGTTTTTTCTGTTCTGTTTTTAAATAGTATCATGTGACAGTGTGGTATGCCGTATTGCAATGAAGAAATTAGATTATATCATCCTAAGGCCGTGCGCAGTCCACCTTTGAAATGTCGCGCAGCAAGTACTGGACACGAGTATGCCAGTTCCGATGACTGCCGTCAGGCAGCATCTTGATGTAAACCTTTAGCAAATGTGTTAAAGTTGTTTTTTTTTAAAGTATATACACAATATTAGATAATATGAAATTTTATTTTCGTCATGGCCCCTCCCACCTTCCTCGGTTATAGCGGTCCTCCCATTCACGTGGCGAATTGTCGTGACCACAGACATACCATTGGACAAAATCCCGTTCAATCACACTCGCAGTCCTTGGGTGGATACCCCCCTCCAATCCATCGATGGCGGTGCATTATGCAAGGCTTTATAAAAACGCTAATTTCAGGAAACTCGGGCGTCCATTGCGTAAGAATATTGATGCTAGAAGGCTTTACACAATTGCCAAAGGTTTCTGACTTGGTCTAACTCGTCTGAAAATGGCAAACTTGAACTTGCGTATTTGTAAAGTGATGGGTTGGCCTACTTATGCTTTCAGATTAGATTATTTCATCCATTTGCCCATGCTCTTAAAATGCAGCAGTCACTTTTTAAAAATATAATTTAAAAATCATAATTTGCTATTTTTGTCATCATACCATTGTGCTGCATGTCTGTTTTCTGTGAAGCCTGAAATAAATGTATCCTAACTTGTGCTTCCTTGTGTCTTTCAGGTTCTCTAACCTCATACCAATTCTGATGATTTGGGATTTATAGGAAGCTTTTTTTGTTTGAAGAACTGCTTTGTTAGACATCTGCCGAACTGCAGGTATGGATATTGATTTTCCCTGTCATTATTTCTCCTTAAATTAGAACAGCAGTTCTGGCTTTAGAGAATATAAAGGAAACAGCATCTTAATTCTTGTAACTCAAACTACCAAGAAGAACAGAAAACAAAACTGGAATTTTATCGGACCACCGGGAACTTTGTCTAGGCTTTTGAATAGCTATAGTTAATTATGAGTGTTAAGTCGAAGATTATAAAGTGTTGTCATATTCTTAAAGTCATAATTTATTAACCTTTAGTTAAAGTGTATTTAAAAGTAAAGTATGTGGTTAGGATTTTAAAAAATGGTTATTTCAACCTTGGCAACATTAGAGTTTTAGAGGATGTGCATCACTGCCTTTAAACAGTGGGATGGTTACTGATTCTTATTTATTTTTTGTAGTATTTTGTGGTTTTGCCCTTTAAAAGAGGGCTTGTGATTTTTGTCTGTATTAAATATGGCATAACAGTACTGGAAAGATCGCAAAGCACAGACTCTGTAGAATGATTCTCTTTATCCTGTTTGCCTAAATTATATTAAGATGTTTGTGCTATCGCACCCGTTTCCATGGGTGCTGTACATGGTGCTCTACACCCACAGGGTGCCCTATGCAGGATAGCATTAGTGTCATAACATACCCTCTGAAGAGCTGCACTTAAAAAAAAAAATAATTTTTTTTAGTAATATTATTTGCGAGTGTTAAATACAAAAGAATATAAGAAGTATGTCTAAGAATGATGACGGTATTAAGCATTCTTAGTGCTACCTTAAAGTTGGCACCCCTCAGTAATTTTCATTTTGTAAAGTGAAAAGAGTGACTCATAGTCGGTCTCTTGTTCTTTTCTCTGAACTGTAGACATTAATTTTGAAAATAGTGACTCCATCATCTATGGATGGGAATGTGAGCCCTGAGCTCTCTCTAGCCCCTGAGCCAGAGCAGAGCCGGGACCGCATGGATAGCTGCTCTCAAGGTATCTTGAATGAGCTTTTTTTTTTTTTTCCCCTTCACAATGCCTTGTCTTAAAAAGTAAAAGTGGGTACAATTATGGTGTCAGGGTCTTTGCTTTTAAATGTGGTTAGACATACGGTAAGTATGGGTGATATAAGAATTGAGCAGTAATTTTTGTTTTTTTGTTTTTTTTGCCTTACATATGCATGCTTGCAAAACATTCCCCTTTTCTTCCACTGTTATGCTGATTTGATATCAATAATGGTTGTTCACAGGCGTTGGAGAAGGACGTAGTGAGAAGGAGGAACAGTTTCACCTTGAAAGTGAGAATGTGCCAAAACAGTTGGTAGGGGAGCAAGATAAATCTTCAAAGGCCAAGAGCGAGCTAAAGAAGACTTGGGGTTTCCGTCGGTCCACCATTGCAAAGAGAGAGATGCCAGTGGAAGCGGTAACCGACAGCCCTGAAACCCGCTGTCCTGTACGCCGTAGTGGCCGACAGCCTAAACGTACTGACAAACTAGAGGAATTCCTATTGAATGCCAAAAGAGCGTCAAGAAAGAGCGCACCTCCCAGTGTGGAAAGTGGAGATCCTCCTTCACAAACCCCAACTGATGCAGAGACGGCCTCAGAGGCCAGCTTTGATGGTAATGCTGATTCCAAGGCCGTTGAGGAAAAAGCAGAGACTCCCGAGAGAAGGACAAGGAGTGGTGCAAGGAAGCAGACTCAAAAGAAAGGTCGAGGTAGTGGCAGACAGACCCGAGGTGGTGGAGCGACGGTGAAAGATGAGGGAAGCTCTGAGAATGAAGAAGACAGTAAAGATGCTGTCAAGAATACACAGGATGACAGTGAGGAGAAAAAAGAAGAAAAGAGTGATCCCACTTCTGAAGCTGTAGGGAGTGTCAGTACAGCACAGACTCAGCCAGAGGAGGACTCTGAGAAGAAGGAGTTTGCTGAGGAGAAGAATGACGATAAAAATGATGAACTTGAGAAGACTGGCGATGATGAGGCAGACAAGGCTGCAGCAGTGCAGGGAAAACGTGGACCAATACGGACATATGTCAATAAAAAGAAGGCAGCTAATAAGAACATTACACCTGTTAAAGCTGCTGACAACAAGAACAATGCTCTTGTAAAGAAGGAAGCAAAGCCTAAAGCTACCCAGAGTGGTGTAAAAACACGGAAACCCCAGACACAGGAGGAGGAGGAAGAGGGGGAGGAGGAGGAAGAAGAAGAAGATGATGAGGATGAAGATGATGAGGATGAGAATGACTTATCCACATCGTCATCTTCAGTGGAGTCTGATGATGGAGGCTATGACCCCAATGCACTTTACTGCATCTGTCGTCAAAAACATAACAAAAGGTTTGTTTTGGCCTCTCTTTATCCTTTAGTCCATAAACTTATTTTTGTTTCTCTCTACTGTCTCTTAGTTGCCTCTGTAGGAATCATTTCATACACAAGTTAAAAAAAATGTTTTAATTACTATTATTTGAGAATGTCTTGATATTCACTGCTCACCAGGTTTATGATCTGCTGTGACCGCTGTGAAGAGTGGTTTCATGGGGACTGTGTGGGAATCACTGAGGCCCGTGGACGGCTGATGGAGAGAAATGGGGAAGACTACATCTGCCCAAACTGCACTGCTAAGAAAAACCAGGTGGTCAGGCCTGCAACTTCTATTCTTTCTACAAATATGGAAATTGGGAAGCCCAAAACTGATTTTGCTTCGCCGACCAATGCTTCCACTCCTCCTGTTACCTCGACTACAAGTGCTGTTAAAGGTAATAATGCCGGAGGGGACTCCAGTCCGTCAGCTGTTCGAGCAGCAGCTTCA